TTACTGGATTAGCAGAACTTGTTATTGGTGGATTAACAGAACTTGTTACTGTTAGATTAACAGAACTTGTCATTGTTGGATTAGAAAAATTTGTTATTGTTGGTTTAGCAGAACTTGTACTGTTAGATTAACAGAACTTGTTACTGTTAGATTAACAGAACTTGTTACTGTTAGATTAACAGAACTTGTACTGTTAGATTAACATAATTTGTTACTGTTAGATTAACAGAACTTGTTACTGTTAGATTAACATAATTTGTTACTGTTAGATTAACAGAACTTGTTACTGTTAGATTAACAGAACTTGTTACTGTTAGATTAACATAATTTGTTACTGTTAGATTAACAGAACTTGTTACTGTTAGATTAACATAATTTGTTACTGTTAGATTAACAGAACTTGTTACTGTTAGATTAACAGAACTTGTTATTGCTCTTGGGGAAAAGATCTGTTCTGCATCTTATACGTTTTAAAAATGGTGAACTTCGACGTAGTTCAACTCTTGAAAGACGCTCGTCCTTGGGACGAATGATGTACGTGTTGATTAACTAATAATGTTGATAACTTACTTTCATCACAAATGAAGCGTCTTTGGTAACTGTTCAACATCTGTGAACGGGTTTTCGATCTACAGTATGCTATTTTTTGCTACCCCGTATATAGCAGAGATTAATAAGTTAGCCCTTAAATTGCCGACTTGTTTCTATCCCGTTCACTACTGCTGGGGTCCATATGTTGGAAAGAACTGACCAGAGATTAGATGAAATCACACATTTCCTATGTAAAGTCCAGTAGGACTTAAACACATTAACTACATTATTAACAGTACCCCTGGTTTACCCTCATGTTTTTAGGGAGCCTTTAACCAAAACACTCATGTCCCCACAAAAGTAAGTAGGTTAGAGAGAGGGGTGTTATAATACCGAAGTGATCCTGGGTCCCACACCGATAATTCTAGGCTTACGAAATGTGTGGTTATATAAGACGATTGTAAAATGTGGTATATGAGAAGATTTTATTGATTAGGATATTTTAAAAAAAGAAAAAAATATCAAATGTAGTAACGAGGGTTAAAAGTACCACTATGAAACTCCGTGTTTGACTTCCATTATCTCAAAAACAAAAAATATCAAAGGTAGTAACGAGGGTTAAAAGTACTACTACGAAACTCAGTGTTTGACTTCCATTATCTCAAAAACAAAAAATATCAAAGGTAGTAACGAGGGTTAAAAGTACTACTACGAAACTCAGTG